AACTGAACCTTAACCAAATTCCACTGAACTTGAGCTGAAACTGAAGAGGAGAATTATATAATTTGTCTTATTACTTCACCATATACCGCAGTAATTAAGTAATTGTGTCATCATTTAAAACAGTTGCGATGTCCAAAAAATGTGACATGCGAAGAATGAACCATGTCTTGTCCTGAACGTATGATTACGCGGAAGGACGGATCCATTACTCAATATTTTCAAGGTGAACTTTTACTCTCAAAGATCTCATCCACACGCACAGAAACGCGTTGCCTAGTTGCATGAAATTGTGCAAGTATGTAATTGCAAACAAGAGAGATTATGTTACATACATAGTGAGTAACTTAATAATAAATGTAAAATTTGGAGATTTATTTAAAATTAAAAAAAAACAATGTAGGAAATATATTCGTCAACAGTTACTTGTGTTAAGGTGGTTTTTACGTGTAAGCAGTCAATTTTTTTTCATTATACAAGGTCCAAAGTTCCAAAGTAAACAGGACTTTTCAAAAATAGGTATTTCTAGTGAGGCCATCTATTGACAATTGCATGCGTAAGAAAGGTAAATCCTTCGCTGATGTACTGTCAAAATTTCATGACATTTGGACGAATAGAAGCGGAGTTACTGCGTCTGAAGTGACAGTATGTTTGTGTGATATTATTTTTTTTTTTTCAAACTTGGTAAAACTTTTATCGAAACGTTTCAATTAATTAACCAAGTTTATGCGATGAGTGTTTAATCCATGGCAGAGTTCATGAGTGGTATACGCGGTTTAAAAACGGTCGTGAGGACATAAATGATGAGCAACATGTTGGCCAATGGAATTTCTTCATCACCGCAGATCATCCAAAATCCTCATTGAACTTCGTGGAATTAGAATTGAGCGTCTCCAAACCATCAATTTATCGCATTTTGGCCGAACATTTGAGCTACCGAAAAGTGCTTGCACCAAAAATTTCTCAGAATTTAACATTCGAAGGATATTATCAAGGAGGCGAAAATCGCACAGAAGTTGACGTTTGTTGCACGATAATGCGTCATCTCATCGATCGACACTTTTGACCGATTTTTTTTACTAAAAATAGCATCTTAACTGTCAACCACTCCCCCTATTCGTCTGATTTGGCACCGTGTGACTTTTACCTTTTCGGAAAAATGTATTTTCCAATTAAAGAAAAGCGTTTTGTGTACGTAGAAGCCATCAAAAAGGCTTGAACCGACGTCCTGAAGGACGACTATCTAAAACACTAATTCGACATGCTTTTAGACAAATGCAAATCGTTGTATTGCGTCGGAAGGGAACTCTTTTGAATAAAATAAATCGGTTTTATCAAAAAAACTTTTTGTTGTTCTTATTTTTAAAAAATCCTGCTTACATAAAAAGTTTCCGACCTAAAGTAACATTACTTACTGGTGACGTCTTTGTTTCCATAGCTAGACTCAGTTCTTTTGGTATTTGTAGCCAACGGGTATTGAGTTCTAAGAATAATTAGAAGCACATCTTTCACCTTTTAGTAAAACAGTTTCAATCTCTTTTAAATTTCTTTTAACAGTATTATTTTCCTTCTCCAAAGTTTTGGTAGTACTCCTTTGAATTGTTTGACCATTTTCTCAATCGTGATCGCAAACTTTTGACTTCTCAAATCCTAACTTTTTTAAATAATCTTTTTGCTTATCTACTTTATATTTACAGGTCGAGATATAATGTTTAGTGCATTCACAAGATATATGCATTTTTTAATAATTTTGAGCGCATCTTTAACGAAAGATCCGTAAAGTATTAGTTATCTGAAAAACTATTCTAATGTTAAATTTGTTACTTATTTTCTGTCGTGTCGTCCGACACATATACATAGATTTTTTTTCAGTGTTAAATTTTTGGTAGGGAAACCATTTTCATATATCTTCTTAAAAGTTTTAGTATAGAAACGTTTTTGTATACAGCTTTACATTTCATAAATATATATTTTTTACTTCTATTTGAATTATTATTGCACAAACAAAAACAATAATAAATTAGGAATAGGCAGCCTTAGGAAAGTTGTTGCTTCCGAAGTGTGAATAAAAATAACGTTTAATCATTTTAAGGGAAGAGAAATACAAATTATAATTTCAACTCGAAACTTGAATTATTGTTATTCAGTAGAACTTCCGCTAACTGAAAATTGAATTATTCATAGCTACAGAAATCACTACAATTCAAAACTGTGAATAGCGATTTGATTGTTTTAGATCGAGGTTATTCGACTGCAAAAATGTACATATTATCTGCCTCAGTCCAACTTTTGTTTGTTATACCTAATTCATAAATTTACCGAAATTATAACCATTTTTTTTAGAGAGATTACAGGATATACACATTTTCAACTAGGATCAGTTTTAGATAACAGCTTGGGATAACCTTTGGTTCTCTGTACTTTTTTCTTTGTCATCTTTGAACTTGAATAATTTTAAATTACTGAATGCCGATCTATAGAAATAAAATCAACAGGGTGTTTTCCATTCAATGTATTTTGTTTTTGTTTATTTATCGTTCTATGCAAACAAAAAGAGTACAAAGTGTTTAATTCTAACTTACTGCGAGAGATGACATCTTTGAAGGTGGTTTGTGCATTATAGAATCATTTTTTTTTGACAAATACATAACTGCTTGAGTAATGACTGATTGATAATTTTGATAACCTAAAACGGAAAAATATGATACGATATATATATATATTGCAATGTTTAAAATAGAACAATTATTCGCCTTTTTTGGTAAGGAGTTATTTATATAAAATTTTCTTTATTTTAGGGGTAGCAAAATACCCAATTAATGAGAAAAGGTACATAAGTGTAAAGTATTTTCTTCTTTGTATAATTAACATTTTATATAGAATTTAGTTTATGGGAACTATTTTAATTAATTAAAAGTGCATTGAGATTCATTTAGTGTACTTTTCAGGTATGACAATCTTTGAATATATTTCTGTTCTCTTTGGACCAGTTCTCTTCAAATAAATCACTATACGTCTATTGGAGAAACTGATTTGATCATCCGAAAGTTTGCTAGAAAAATTCTCTCTATCTACCTTTAAAATCTAAGTTCGATTAGAAAAATTGACTGTCTTCCAACACATATTTGTTTCTTCTTTGTGACAGGTCGTCCAAACAAATGAAATACGTCTCAAATCGTTTCATATTACCAACCAACTGATGTATTCCTTACGTAAAAAAAATGAGATATAATGTTGTATTACTCAATCTATAACCATTTTCACCAATTGTGTTTTAACATATGGTTATCGTGAACTATGTTAATTAATTCAATTTTTTCTTAACGTCATTTGCATCGACTGCTCGCTTATGTAAAAAATACGTCTTTTATATAATTATTAGCAACTTTCTGCAGCATCGGTACTTGCAAAACTAGTCACAGTATAAGTAGTTTTTCTAATCACATACATATAATCTAAAATATGTTCCCAAAAAAAATTTAAATATTTCAAATATCGCAGTTGGTATTGAAAATATATGAAGGTTACATGAATGCAATTTTTATTATGGATTTGTTATGGAGCATATACAATTAAAAGGAGTTATATAAATACACATTTTCAAGTTCTTTTTTTATATTTATTTGTGCAATTAATTATTAAATTAAGAATAGAAAAAATACTTTGAAAAATCAACGGCATTTGATATGAGGAAGGAAATTAATTGCTGAAGGCATCTTTCAGTTCCAAAAGATTCTCCAAAAACGTGATCTTTAAGAAAAATTAATGTACTCTGAATCTGAATTGTACCAAGAGTTCATTCTAAAAGTAGCAACTAGTAACGACTTTTAACAAGCATTTTATTTTAAAATGTAATCAAAACAATGTGAAACCCATCCTTAATATGTACATATATTAGATTTTAATGTATTACCTATAGCTTAATAAATAAAAGAGAGCATGTAGAAAATGTATTAATATTAGGTGCTATTTTGGTCTTATCCTTTTAATAATATTATAGTAATAATATATTACATATTAATATAATACAAATCCTATATTTAAGAAATTGTACATATAAATGTTACTATAAAAATTACCGATGACCAGAAATTCGTACTGTATTTGTATTTTGTTTCTACAGATTTTAAAGTATATTATTAAAAATTATTTATCAAATTTTAGTTTCTGCTATAAAATTACAGATACAATCTTCTACTGACAGATACAATAAATAAACTTCACAACATATACTTTTCTTAATTTTATTTTTACATATCCTGTAAAAACATACCATTCCAAAAATTATCTTCTTCTTTGTATTCTGCAAATTTAATATAAAATGTAAATGCGAAATATCTTTAATAATTTACAGTTTACTCTATCTTAATATACATTTATGACAATAATTTATTTATCTATTGTTCAAAACTAAATGCCGAAACAGCAATGAATAAAAGTTCTGTTTGCTATACCTAATACTTTTGAAACTACTTTTAATGCCAATTTTTAAACATTCAGTCTATAGACTGAGACTGGATAATTTTCATTGAAAAAAGGTAAATGTTGTTCTCAAAAAATAACTGCAATTAGTTTCCCTTTGATTTTTCATATAAAGATAAAATATTTAATAAGTAGTAAAATTACTGAGAAAATAATTCAAATATCTCTTATTTTTTTAACGATGTATTAGGGTGACACTGACATTGGAATCTATAACTCATTTAAGGCAAATAAGTCTGTTGAGTATTTAGTTCTATTCTGTTGAAAAATATAAACCAATTTTGATTAATGCAGCTGTTCTACCAGCTTAAACTAAATGCGTAAACAAAACATATTTTGTGTCCACTGTGTAACCAAGAGAGAAATCTCATTGGTGGCCAGCATAACAATATTCCGTGTTGTAAACATATTTTATTACTACTGAACATGAATATAGGCACTAAGAGGGGGTTAGGAAATCATTATTAAACTTTTGACACATATAGCTCTATTATATATACCCGCCATATTAGTGGTGAAAATAACAGTCGTTCAATATATACAATCGAATATGAACCTCCAAGTAAGTGAAAAGTGAATGTTGAGTTTTCCGAAAAATAACGAATACTACAATTTACGTTTCTGAATTAGTGAATATATTGGTGTATTGTGCTATTTTATAGAGGAATTAAAATTATTGTTTTAAAATAACGTATTTTAAAAATACCTACAAGTATTTTGTCAACGTTTTATCATAAAATCATACTGTGAATCGTTTATATTAATTATATCTAAAAGTCTTGTTGTTACAATTAAAAACACTTTAACATCGTTTGTTTTCGATCATTGTAGCTTTAATATCGCGTATCTAGTCTCTCATTTCTAATTTTATTTATTTTTCAGGCCTGCGCGGTCATCTTGTTGGCTAGCCTTGTGTTAGTTTCCTCTGACCCAGGAAAGAACAAGAAGGCAGCAGAACCTAAAGAAGAAAAGATAACTGCAGCAGCCTCAGACAAAAAACAAGATAAACGCGGACTTTTAGGACTAGGCTATGGTGGAGGGCATGATTTTGGAGGTTTTGAGCTTGGAGGGTTAGAACTTGCTGGAGGTCACGGATTAGAACTGGGCGGAGGTCACGGACTGGAACTGGGAGGAGGATTTAGTGGAGGAAGCATCGTAGATGAAGGCCACATAAAAGCTATAACGATTACTAAAGAAATTAAAGTCCCAGTCCCACATCCTTATCCAGTGCCTGTGGAGAAGAGAATCCCAGTTCCATATCCGGTAAAGGTAGCTGTACCTGTTGAGAAGCCATATCCCGTACCAGTACCCAAACCATACCCAGTTCCAGTGGAAAAACCAGTACCATATCCAGTGATTAAGAAAGTTCCCTATCCCGTGAAGGTTCCATTCAAAGTACCATATCCAGTACCTCATCCAGTTCCCGTACCAAAACCAGTACCTTACCCAGTGCACAAGCCAGTCCCATATCCAGTCAAAGTACCCGTTGTGGTCGAGAAGAAGGTACCTATCCTTATTCACGAACATGAAGGCGGCCTAGGGGGTGGTTTTGGAGGAGGCCATGGCCTAGAATTTGGAGGAGGTCATGGTCTAGAGCTTGGAGGAGGTCATGGTCTAGAGCTTGGAGGAGGTCATGGCCTAGAGCTTGGAGGTGAAATCGAGTTTGGTGGACACTTCCATCACTGAACAGAGACTGTTATTTCGAATCTCAGTATTGTTGTACTACCTGTTTTTATTTTCAATATTCTGTTTCTAGTTAAATTTATTTATATACTTGTTCTTCTTTAATAAAAGGATTTTTTTACAAACGTGTCTCATTTCAGTCACAAGCATAATTTTATACTAAGTATAAGACTTTACTTAGAAATGTCTTAATTAAGAAATTTAGATTTGCAACGTGCGCTTATATAAGCATGCGTTACTAAATTGCTTAAAAGTTCTTATTTTTTCATCATCAATGTTTGTACTACATATATATTGGGTTTTCTTAGAACACTCCAAAACAGTTTTCAAGTCAGACGTATACGCATTCCGATATAATGCTTACATAAAGTTCAAAATAATTCATTCTTTCAAATCAATTGAAATTGCAGCATTAAGAGGAAAGCTATTATATATTTGCAATAATATAATATAAAAATATTAAGTGTACTTTTAAAGTGAAACAATCCCAATGAACAAAACAGTACAACATATACATACTTTTATCAATCCCAATGTCCTTTTTATAATATTAATAGATATCAATTTCTCAACAGCTTTGCGTCTAGATACATATATTATTGCGTAAGTAAAGTTTCTCGGCAAATGCAAATAGTTTTCCGTAGTGCAATAAATAAATGACTTAATAATTACGTCGTAATAGTATAGCGCTGGAGAATTTGATTAAGGTAGAAAGATAAATATATTGACTGATAATTATTATAACCATATGGTGCTAAGCAATTGAAAACCGTAAGCAATCACCGTAATCGATCAAGTTTGGATGAATTTAAATTCCCTTTTAGTTTCGCAATTTCAGAAAGTATTTAGATAAAGCTGTTGCAGATTCTAGATAATTAAGTTTCACCTGCGAATATTTACTTTACTTCCTTCCTATTTTCTAAAGATTTATTTAAATTTCATTAATATGCAAATGTTTTATTTATGATATTATTTTTTATTTAAATCACTATTTAAATGCACATTAAGAAGTTTCAGATCATTTTAAAAGTACTGCTAAAATTCATTCCTCATCAAATGAAGTGATAGTGTCGAGTAAAGAGGAATGATTTGGAGTATCATTACTTTTTTGCCACAAACTAGATCAATTTGTAAATAAACAATGTAAATTTCAATGTGTCTTGGAATGAGTGTTATTGTGGAATATTATTCCATACAAAATCATCAATAATAGTCAAGAGCCACAAATTAAACAAATAAGGCAAATTGTTAATACTTACATAATTATCAAAAAATTAAAAAGGAAATAGTAAATAGTTATACAGGGTGATTCATTAACTGTACGGAGCAGTTATATATAGGAAACTAGACTAAACGATTATGGGGTAAAAAATGTATTAACAAATACGGCCAAAAAATATTGATTTAAAATATTTTCAAGTTTGTAACTTCACCGCTAAGAGCGCCACTGCTATAGTGCTACAGAAAATTGTCGGTTTTTCGAAATTTCGCTCATATAACCTAAGTTGAAAATATACTTTTTAGATACACTGTTAAACCCTTCATAAGTTTAGTGTGAACTTTTTTTTGTTGTTAAATAGTGAAGTCGTGCTAGTCACATCATCCTTTACTTAGTTATCTAAATAACATAGACATAGTCCAAGCCAAAATTAAATTGTAAAACGATACCAAAAAGTACTTCCTATATTTTGATACTTGCAATGTTTCATTATTTATTAATTCCAAATATATAGTATTTATAAAAATTATTGTTTCCATAACTGGGCAGGCTGTCATATGAAAATAGACAAATGAAAAATTGTGTCAAACGAAATATTCGTTCAAAATTACTGTCATTTGTGAGAGAAAAGAACTTGTGTTCCATATGAAATTCGCAGGTCTCTAACTAATTCCCCATAACACTTATTTGGGGATTTACATGAACATAATGAACACAAGCCAACACATTAATATTATCTTCCGTTCTTGCACGGCGATGTCTTCTTACAGAATGTAGTGGCGTCTGACTAAACGCTGAAATACTTCTCTGGAGTAGCGTATTCAACGAGGGTATCGCAAAGCGTATTCTCTTGAAGCTATAATGGCATTTCCCAAACATTGAAAATAAACTGCCAACATATCATACGCTTTCACATTCGTAAAAAGCATTTTCCTTGTTCACAAGTAATTTTCCAACACAAATAGCACTAATTTTACACGTAGCAAGAGCTGTCACATTTCATTTGGCCTAATTTTTCAGTTATCTATTTTCACAGGGAAACAATAATCTCTATAAATACTCATATATTCGGAATTAATGAAACAATGAAAAATGGTACCTATTAAAAAAATTTAAAAACAAAGCAAGTACTTTTTAAGGACACGATTAGTACAGTTTTACAATTTAATTTTGGCTTGGACTATGTCAATGTTATTTAGAGAACTAAATAAAGGAGGATGTTCTAGCTCAACTTCACTATTTTAGCCATAGTTCGAAAACGAAAAAGATATCGACCTCTCTATATAGATATCGCCTATCAAGCTTTGAAAAAAACTATATCTTTGCATTTAATATTTTTAGTAAACGGAGACAATTACAAAACTTTTATAATTAGCATCGTCTACAGTTCCGCAGGAAAATAATATTTTTATTCCCATATCATAAATATATATTTTATTAATAGTTCTTTACAATGAGCCATCGTTTATTGAAATCGATTAAGGCATTTAGAAGTTATGACAATTTAAAAATTTCAAGATGGCGACCTTCATACCGGCGTTGCTATGGTAATAACAAAAAAAGTTCAAACAAAACTTGTGAAGGGTTTAACAGTGTATCTAAAAAGTATATTTTCAACTTATGTTATATAAGCGAAATTTCGAAAAAACGACAATTTTCTGTAACACTATAGCAGTTGCGTCCTCTAACGGTGAAGTTACCAACTTGAAAATATTTTAAATCATTTTCTTTTAGCCTTATTTTTACTAGATTTTTTTACCCCATAATCGTAGCACGTCTAGTTTTCTATGTACAGTCGTTCCGTACCGTTGATGGATCACCCTGCATGTGTAATATTTTAAATCTTCCATCGCCGATTTTAAATCTTCCATCGCCGATTCTGATAAGCTATAAATCGTAGCTAGCCAAATATAAATACATGATACTTTATTATTCTAAATTGTGTTGCAACCTTACCAATATTTTCGAAATATTATCAAGCGATTCAATACTTATAGCCAATGAATCCATAATATTCCTAAAAATATACGACTAATATTAATATACGAGGCCTGTTCAGAAAATAACCGAACTTTTTGAATTACACGCTAATGGAGATATTTAGTGTAGTGGAGCTTGCGCATTACCTCCTCTGTAATCACATGTTCTGAGATTGTTGATATCTCATTTAGTTTTCGTGATATTGTTATTTCACTGCAAACTGTTTAAGTGTTAGTGACCAATTTGAAATGTGCGATTTTCTGGAACAACGAGGCAACCTAAAATTTTGCGTGAAACTGGGGAAAATTTTCACGGCAACTTTTCAATTGTTTAAACAAGCTTATGGAGATGATGCTTTGGGTCGTACGCAATGTTACTAATAGTTTTCACGATTTGAAAGTGATCGTCAGTCAATTGAAGATGATTCTCGATCAGGAAGGATTTCGATTTCAACTGATCATTACCACGATCAGAAAATCAAAGATCTGGTGCTTGCAAATCGCCGATTGTCTGTCATAGAAATTGCAGAAATAACATCGCAATTAGGTCACTCCGTGAAATTTTGAATGAAAAATTGAACATGTAAAAGTTTGTGAATAGGGAAGGATAATACTTTGAAGGAGACAAGGATCGATAATGTATAAAATGAATAATAAAGTTAAAAAAATAAAGTTCGGTTATTTTCTGAACAGACCTCGTATGTGATAGTATTTCATTATTTAAAGACACCGACGGATCATAATGAAAAAAGACAATGGAAGAAGATGAACAGACTTTAACTTTCATAGATATTATTATAGGCAACTTTCTAAATTCATCGGGAAAAAGTTTAATAAATCAGAAATGACGTCGACTAATGAGTTTGATGGAAATACGAAATACAATAACCCGATTAAAAAATGCTCCAAATAACTTTAGATAATCATTTTTTTTAATATTTACTTAACATTTTCCTTGGTATAAAATAAAGGTTTTTATGTGGTATTCCTTTAACAAATAATTTTAACCTTAATACGCCTGAAGTTAGAGCTTGAAAACTGACTAATGCGGAACAGGATATAACTGAACACACACTGAAATCACAGAACATACACAAAGCACAAAGTCTGAAATATTTCAAGTGCAGCATATAAAGCACCGGCCGCTCAGAAACTAGTTTGAAAATGGAGCGTAAAGTTTCAAAACTATCTCGATTATGGATAATTATGTAGTTTGTAAAACAATCTCGTTTACAGCTCACTAAATACATGTATCGTTTTATATTATAATGTTGATTGGCAAAACTACTTTAAAATTTATTTCCCACAGTCAAAGAGGTGGCCAGAGTAGGCCAAACCAGTTTCTGGTTTGCCAAAACCCACCCGGTCCACTCCTTAGCGACGCCACTGCCAATTAATATACATAATTAATATAAAAACGTTTTGTTAAAGTTTTGTTAGAAGTAGTAGCAATAATTTGATGGATAATAATAAATAATAATTGTACAAAGTAATATCTATTACAACAAATAATTCAAATCTATTTGATCAATAACTGAATGTTTAGTTTCTAATTAATTGGAAACCAGGGTAGAAAGTAACAATTTTGCTATGGATTTTTTAATGAAAGCGAAATTAAATTTCTGAAATACCTATCGATTTCGCACAAAAAATGTCTCATCAAATTCTCTTAAAACTGTCACATTTCATGTTTTAATTTACTGTTCCGGAAAAATTATGGCTTAAAATATCAAATTACTTATCTGGGAAATGAAAAATTTTCACAACTATGGTATAATAACTTTTTCTTCTTTTTTAAAGAAAATGAATCTATTTTGTAGGTTTGAAAAGATTAGATTACTATTATCTCTTCAAATCCTTCTATTTCTTGTTTTGCATGTATTCATATACATATGAAAGCGATACCTACAATTTTTATAAACAGTTTTAACATTGAAAATGTTTATGGGATCGTTAATGTAAATCTAGATGTTAGAGAGTATTACTCTTAAATTAAAGTAAATGTTTCACGCGTGTTTGGTGTCGTTGTGTAGGGTGGACCATTCTGCGTCGAATAGAAATGATTCGGATGGCAACAGGGAAGATAATGGTGAAATTTTGACTATTCAATTTTTGTTTTGTTTTGTAAACTTTTTTAAGGGCTTACCAAATGAAAAAGCCGCACGAATTTAAATCTGATGGCCTCGGCGACCAAAATCTCGTACATCTCGTCCGCTACCAATCCAATTTATCAAATTTAAAGTTCAAATTTTCGAATAAATTCGGCAACACGTTTGACCAATTAAATAGTCTATGATTATCCACTTCCACTATCCACTTTTGAATTCATGTTGAAAATGCCCTTCATGAACAACGTTCAGGTTTTCGCCATCATAGACATGTTTATTATGAAAGCTAGTAGTCTAACAACTTAAGGTAAATTAGAGCTTTTAGGAACTATTTTTTTTTGTTCTATGATCTCAGCATTAATACATAAATTAATTCTACATTATAATGTGACAGCAAATAATAATTATAGTACTGTCTGTTAATTTTGTAACTTAAATTAGATAAAAGTTCAAAGTCTCCTGGTTTATAATAGAGCCAAAAACTACACTTTAAACTGTAGCTTTATTTGTTCGTATTTTGTATTTTATTGCACGTTGTGACAATATCATGACTCATGACAGTTTAGTTTACATATTTTAATGAACAAAGACGCAAAAATATATTGAAAATAATGACAATAATAGAAGCTGATAAGGTGAACATGATTTAATTCGTAGTAGATATAACCGGGGAAAAATCATTTTTCAGTTGACTAATCAGGCTTTCCCAAAAAAATAATTTGCCGAAAAGAAGCTACCAAGCACTTTAACCTTTAGACTAATATTGCCAAATGAGTTAATTTATTTTAAATATATTTTGATCGTTTCATTATCTATAAATTAACCGTAGAATTAAATTTCAATTAATGTTCATTCATACTGAGATTTTAAAAAATCCTGATGAATTCGTACTGGATATTAAGTGCCTTGAAATAATTTTAATGGAAATAGGACCTACTTATTGTATTAATTCCTACACGTAGAACAATGTCCTGATTTGAAACGAAGTTTCACAAGCAACTATCGGTCTGTAACCTGTTGTCGAATTTTTTAAACGCTTTTATAATTTTTGAATAACAAGCAAATCAATTGTAAAAAAAATATATTACAAAAATAAAAAAACAAGAACATAACAATTAACAGTTCACATTTCAACAAAAAAAAAGTCTATTTACAAAATATGTACTAAAATCTAGCCAAAGCTTCGTCGACATAAAATTTTGTCTTTGGCTGGAAATGACTGAGAACAAAAGTAAAAGCAGTCAAAGCAGTTGAGACTAATGGCCCTCCTCTTGTTGTCCACTTGGTTGCCAATCTCCTTGACCGCCCTGATCTGCTCCACCATAACCTTGAGCTTCGTAGGACGAGATATGATCACCGCCACCTAAAAATGCATATACTGGATTATATAAACAGTCTAAAATTATAAATTAAATAATTTAGAACAATTTTTTTGGAAAAGAAAGTGACTAGCTCGGTAGAAATAAAACTAAAAGAGCACTCAACTATTTTGTTGAACTGTGAAAACTTTATCTATTACTTTCTTATCGTAATTTCTAATTAGACAAATACATTTATTGAATCAACCCCTTGACTTAGGGGCATTATGTAAATTGTTGACATGCTGAAATTAGAGAAGTAATAAAAGTTGTATTTTGATATTGAAAAACAAGCATACAAATGAAACAGCAAGTACAAAGGTAATACTGAATTGAATTATTTGAAGTATTTTTTTAGGATACTCTAATTTTGTTTTTACTGTTAAAGATATTTTGGGTTATTCTGAACATATATAACTTTTTGTACATATTTTCAAATCCTACTGTTTAGGAAGACACAAAATTATGAGGTCTATATTACAAAATTATCAAATTTAACAAAGCACTCCACACGGTCTTTATGTAAATGTGAGCTTGGTCAAATTGGCTGAAATTGTGGTAAGTTGTCGGTTTGTGTTACTGACAATAAATCTTCACAGTACTTCTACCCCTCTTATAACGGTCACAACATACCACAATTTCAGCCAACTTGATAAAGATCGTGCGGAGTCCTTTTGGAAACTGTTGATTATATGTCACATTTGTACAAAATTGAAGGCCAAAGGAAAAAAGTTTGTATGACGCTTTTTCTCAAAATAGTTATAATTTTGGAATATTTTAAATAAAAAAGTCTAGTTCAACATGATCATGGCTTGATTGGACTTTGATCTATAAACAGGAAAATCAGATCCGCATTCCATTTTCATACATTCTTTTCATTTAGATATTTAAATTAGAAATAATCCAATTAGATATATGTAATTTTTTTGCTGATATTTCTCATATTTACCTAAATTTCCTACATCATTCCCTTGCTCCTGAACTGCGTAACTCTCAACCTGTCCAACATTTCCAGATCCCGCATGCCAAGAGTCTCCCCCTCCCGAATGGACAGGAACCGGATATGGCTTGGGCACCTCTACGGTCACTGGCACTTTCTTGACTATCTCGTATGGTACTGCGTGAGGTACCTTCACGTATTTGGTTTCAACAACTGGATAGGGTTTGGCTACTGGGACTGGATAAGGATGGGGTACAGGGACCTTGACGGGGTAAGGTTGTGGTTCCTTAACGGTCACGTGCTTGGTCACGTGGATCTCATCCGCTGGAAGGTGCCCTTCGGAGTACTCGCCAAGTCCAAGGATGTCGTACTTTGGATATTTGATGTTGCTGAAGGATTCGAGATCTGGAATTCCTTCCAATCTGTCGGATCCGTGGCTGTAGCCCGGCCTTGCCTTTGCTACTACTGCGAGGCAGCAAATTGCGAATAGGGCGAACTGGAAAAAAATAATTGTCATTACCTAATAAAAAAATTAATGGGTGGTAAATGGCACAAAATTAAAATTGTTATTAATGCTGTCTTGGTTTATTGGTATGGATTGTTAGTCAATATCAGTCATATAGAAGAGTTTATTTAATATTGCCACCATTTCCCTTGATGTTATCCATAATGCTAAAAGGATAATGGTCATAATGTTGTTTTAAGAAAAACATTGAGAGACCGAAATTGTACCACCACCCTACTTAAAGCTAACAATCTCATCAAAATAGAATCAAAAGAAATGTAGATTATCATCTATCTGTCAAAAAATACTTTTACTTTTTCAATAATTCTGAATCAATCTAATGAAGTGATGCTCTTTTCATACTCTACAGGGGAGTTCCGTCCTGTTGATCTTTATCGAAAACGAAATTATAGCTTTAGGACATAAAAAGAGCAGAATTATTTAATATTGTTAATATGTCAGGTAATTATGTACTTTTTCTTATTACTATTTGGATAGATTGATGAGCAGCTTGACTATAGAGTAATTTTATTAACATATCCAGATATTTAAAACCAAAAAATATTAATATTTAATAAATTAATATCAGATAATTAATAAAAAATAAGTAATAAAGAAATGACAGATAATTTCTGATTCTTAATACATTAATAGGTATATGTTAACCTTCCATGTTTAGTAAAAAATAATACAAACAATTACCAACTAAATATTATTTTCTATAATTTTTTTTCAGTACCTATATTCACCTTATTACCTACTACTTAATATTTTACACCAAAAATGTAAAAAATATATAAAGCTTTTGTTATCAACTCTTCCTTCTGATGAAACTAACAGCAGAAATGGCGAAATATCAAGGAAAATTAGAAAACCACCACTAAGAAACAAATTCTATAAAAAAAAAACATAATCTGATGGGGCATGACATTTTATGATATATCAACTATAGAAAATAGTAAATGATGCATGAAATCATAAACAGTTTTTCGTACTAATCTGTTTATTTTTTTAAACCGGAAATAAAAGTTGAATTTCTATCAAATTTTTATCAAAAAAGACCCATTTAATCTTGGGACGTCAGAATTTTGAAGACTTTATTGTCATATAGCCATTTTATTTCCATTATTTTATTTAATAAAAGAAAATAATAAATTAAAAACTGAATATTATTATCCATCACAATTTTGTTTTCAATTTCTATATTCCCATTAGTACCTACTACTTAACAGTTTACTCCAAAATATAATAAAAATATAAAGTTTTTGCTACCAGCTTCGTTAAATAGAAAGATAATATTTCCCTTTGATGATGCTAGTAGCATAAGCGAAATGTCAAGGAAAATTAATTAGCAATTAGAGAAGAAATTTCTGTAAAAAAATTATTAGGTGGAGCATGATATATTTTAAATTATCAACTATGGAAAAATAGTGAAATGACCGATTGATTTGAATTGATCTGATCATGATCAATAATTTTGAATACTAAGTTGTTTAATATTTTTAAAACCGTAAATACTATCAATTTTTTAGCAAATAAGACCTATTTAATCTTGGGACTTCAGAATTTTGAAGCCTTTTTTTTCTTATGTGTTTTGTTACCAGTAATAAATGTACTAAATTTGACAAAATTGACATGACTAAAGTTAAGACAAATTATTAATTCAAAAAACAACTTTGAGTTAATGTTGAATTTTCGGTTACTGAGACTCTTTTCCTATAAATTTATGTATTATACAAAAATTTACATTTAAAAATATCATAAAAATAGGGAAATAACAAACAACGAGCATTAGTACAAATGAAAAATGTAAAAATAGGAGAGATATTATTCTTATATATTAAGTTGCTTTGATTAAGATTTAAATAAAATTCTTTCCAATATTTCGTAATTATCTTCCGATCTGTTCGCGAGAGTCGAAATCCAACTAAATGAATGATACTATTAACTAATCTTATCCGCACTTTCTCCTATCAAGTTAGTTCGTTCACCCAATACCACTACATCCACAAAAACTGGATCCAAAAAGATGAATAATGTCAATAGGTATCTAGTTTACTTACAAAAATGTTCATGATTATACACCTGCGAGATGTGATATTTTGTAATAACTGATGGTGGTAACGGGGAGAGAGTATTTATACACGGAACAGGCTTCATCCGGTGCCTCCCTATAAGAATTTCTTCCACTTTCTTCATGGAATAGTAAAAAAACAATACCATTCTAGTTAATTTAAATCGTATTAGTTGCGGTAGATCAAAAAGAGATAATAATGTTTTACGTGTAGCAAAAGAAATTACATTCAAGACCCTTTCTTGAAAATAAATAACTCATTAGTTGTTTACAGTCAGTACAGATTGCATCTTTGTTAAACATATTAAAATTTGGACTATGGCGAAAAAAGACGGGATATTTTGCTGTGAAAGTAAACGTAAGAAAAGCAATCTCTTATTTTATAGACAGCAGCGTTTAGCGTGGTCGATCACTTAATTATTGTTTACTGCTGGTTTACGAAAAATTTTTGTGATTTATACAAAATATACAACTCATTTAGAGTTGTTATTTTGCCTTTTAAGTTTTTTTTATTTTTTCCTATACTCTCAATCCTACGTAAGTAAATATTCTCATATTTTTTTATCATAGGTAAACTTGCGATCTTGTTTTATCAAACTTATTTTATTACAAACCTAATTTGTAATCAAAAATTTGATTTACGTGATAATAAAAATGAAATAATAGTTACAACGTTCGGAATCTTGTAGTCCAAAATTATTGAAAACGAATTAATAGTATTTAATTCAGTTAAAAAAATATTTCATTACAGATTTCCTCAGTTCTGTAAATTGCAACTATCAAATTTTAAATAAACATAATTTTTTGTAAGATTATGACAATTTCCAGTGGTTGTCTTAAAAACATATTTGATTAAACACAGCTAAACTAAACAAGTTTAATGAAATCTTCCTATTTTCACCTCCATGACTGTGGTAGTGGCACCAACATGAAATATTTATATAAAAGTAATATTATTCAATTGCAGTATTTTTCTAAATTTTAGACACCACATACAGCTACTATTTTTGGAGACGTACAAAAAATGTTAAATATAAAAATTGTCTGAATTTTCAGGGAGTAACGGCATTTTTAAGAAGATCGAACAAATTAATGAAAGTGTTTTTTAAATAAATGACTGTACGTTTTTACAAATTTAGAATATATAGAAAACTTTCTTATGATTATAGTCGTATAAGGTTTAATGGATCTATTCCTAATAGCTTCCTGGTAGAAAAAGTAAAGATGGCCAATGCCATAAACACAATTATTGTGTTGAATTGTCGTTGTTTAGGAAGGCAGTGACAGTAATCTCTTCCTAACACATCGAGCTATCTTTTGGTTATACAAGGTGCGTCGGGAGAATCGCACCAAAGTCCAGGAATGGATTCTACACATCAAAATAATAAGAAAAAACTCAAATATTTTTATGCGATTTTCATTTGTTTTCAAGCTTCAATAAAAAAATATATTAATCATAGCGCTCCTTTATTAAATGTTCAAAAAACCACCTCTAAACACTATCTGCTTCGTCTATGAAGGGCGCACTATGAACGATTGGAACTACTTTAGTGTCAAAATCATAGAACTCTGGATAGAAAACTCTGATTTAATGTATTATATAAATTTTAATCTTTTCATGGAACTTTTTTCTTGTTTGTGTGATAAATTAAATTATACGGGACTTCATCTTTCAGCATAATATAATGTCTCTAATTGAACGGTAATTGTAGCTCAAGTATGACTTCGAGTAGAAAATGCATTCATGCAAATTGGATGATCCTACCTATTCTCAAAATTAGAAAAATAAAAATAATATACTCTGAAATATACATTTTCCTCAATATAGTCATTTTATCTGTAAAGTGATTTAATCCAAATGTAGTATCCTTACATCCAAATCGGTATGAAAAAAACTAGTTTATAATTTATTTCATACATTAAATCAGTTATTTCAGAGAAAAAGATTTTGAACTCGATTATGAGGTAAGGTGAGGTTATCTTTTCTCTAAAACTATTAGCCCTACATAAAAACATATTCATGCTTCCATCTCGGGATGAATATCCATTGCTATAACGAAATATTTAGATTTTTTGAGACTTGCCTTTTAAGTAAAAATTAAGTGAAGTCCAAAAAAATCTTTAAAAACCAAACATTTGTGTATTTCAGTCTAAAACTTTAATAAATTATCCAACATTTAATGTATACTTACTACTACTACTACTATTACTAATAAAAATATTTTTTAAATGAACATTGAATGAAAACGGACAAATTATTTTGATATAACACTGTTAGAAACTAAATTTATGAAAACTGAACTTTTCGAATGCCAATCACTCAAGATATAATAGGTCAAATAAATTTTACCAAAATGAAAATTGAAGATTTTTTAATCTACTTTCTGAAAAAGATTGTATTTTTTAATAGTCAGATGAGGAAAAATAGTGGCATTCGAAAAAATCGAAAAAAATTGAAAAACCCGAGGTTTAAACGTTCCCTGAGAGCAGCCTAATAAATCGAGCGCATTTTCGATATTTTTCCCTAAAAGGTAATCCCTTTACCTTTAAAATACCGCTTGCTAAATCTTTTTATCTTTTTTCTATCCAGAGTTCTATGATTTTGACACTAAAATAGATCCAATCCTTCATAGTGGGGCGTCTGTAGCTCTTCTGATTCTTTAATAAGTGCTTCAGTATTGATGATACGTCGAATTAGTTGCCTACCGACTTTGTACACTTCATTTTTGGTCAACCCCATGCATCTAGTGCTGTGAGGTCCAGAGATCTTGGAGGCTAACTAATAAGACCACTACAACGTCCTGAAAACCTCTTGTTCGTTCAAGTGTAGCTTGACTGGACGAGCGAAATGTGCAGGAACTCTATCGTAGTGGTAGTATATTCTCATTCTCATGTTTATAGGAACATCCTCTAGTAGTACATGTAATTCCTTTTGTAAAAAAAATAAGTAGTGACCTCATGTGAGTCGATTCTCCTAAATGAAAGGTCCAATTAAATAACTATCGATCATACCACACCACACGTTTACCGAAAACCTAAGCGGAAAATTACTTTCGAGTGTTGCGTGAGGGTTTTCATCTGCCGGGCGGGTAAATGTTGCTCCATCCGTAAAAGGTATGCGGGATACAAGATCTTCTACTAAACCCAGAATATTTTCTACTTCTTCTAAACCTTGTCGATGAGCTCGTTCAGATCCGGTTTACCACAGCTTGTTGAAAACTCTGATAAATACATTTTTATTAGGATATCTGTGATGTGGACGATATTCTTCAACAGCGGCATTAGCATTTCCATTACAAAAACCATAAACAAACACCATAAATGCGTTGTTTAAATTTGAACAAGTTTTTGGCATTTTGTAACACTTTGATCGTACAAATGTGTAATCAAATGTTAAATTATTGCGACATAAAAAAGAATTGACAAATAACCTACTTTTGAACTTGGAACATGGCATGCTCTAATTTCAATTTTTTAAAATTTGTAATTACGCTATAACTTTAAAACAAATGAAAATCGCATACTTAACAGCATTTGAGCTTTTTCTTATTATTTCCATGCGTAGAATCCATTTCTGGAATTTGCCGCGATTCTCCCGACTCACCTTGTATATCTCCAGGACCATTAGTTAAACCTTATACCACGGTAATACTGAAAAAATGCACTAACTGTTCTATGTAAAAAAAAACAGAATTGATTTAATTAAATTGCCATCTATTCGATATTTATATCATACAACATTCTGGCACATCGGGGAAATCGATACAAGTTTATATTCAACTTTTCTCCGAAAATAACAGTTATATAAGTTTAAAATATAGGTAAACAGACAATACCTACAAAATGAAGCATTATCATTTGCCCTTAAAAAATGTTTAAGCTATTTTCGAAACACCGTAAATTGTTCTGCAGATGAACAGAAAAACTATATTGCTTTGTAAATTCGTAATATGACTGCTTTATTTTTACTAAAATATAAATGTGAAAATATATTGCGGAAATGTTGGAAACAAATCTTATTTAACATTTTGTATAATACATATTCACTGTTCTGCCAACATATGTATGTTGTTTCTTTGCGCTCTACTTGCAACGTGTTCTGCTTATGCAATTATTGTAGATCCATCGAATACTGAAAACTTAATAATACTACTTGATTATTCTAAATTGTGTTATTCAAGTGTTAACTGAAACAAAACGTGGGTTTCATGTGAAAAATTAATTTATCAAATTTTATTGGTACCTACCATCACCAGTAAACATTAAATCCACATTGATTGCAGATTTCAAAAATTAAAAAAAATTAAATCTTCTAAAGCTTCACTTAGTTAGCTAGTGCTATTATTATACTACGTGTTTCCAAAATACAGTGCTAAACTAAAACAGGAAATAAAAAATGTGATTTTAAGTTTCCTGCAGTGATGCAAGTGATAATTGAGACTTTTTTGTCTGAAAAAAATTGTCGAATATTTTCTTCAAAGTATTACATGTTTATATTTTTGTGATTGTTACTATTTTCAAAGAAATTATATGAGATTATTTCTATACCCTGATGACAAAACAAACATAAAATATGTCGTGGATTTCTTTCTTTTCTTTACTGAAACATTATAGCAATTAAACTAAAATAAATAAGTAATAGCATGGTGCTAAAATCTGTCGTTGTCCTGATAGAGGATGATTTTTTTTTTCATTAACTCCCAAAGTTAGTTTAAGTTGGCTTTCATATTTAATTAATTCTATTTTACTTTCTTTCTTTTCTTCTAATTCTAAAAATTATAAATTCAGAATTTCCAAATTTCTATTATCTAGAGTTTGTAAATTTTTGAAATTTATAATATCCTTAATTTCCCACTCCATCTCTCAGTGTCTCTGAATAAAGCAAAAACATGATAAGAATAAGATTATTGATTTGGATCTGATATACCATTTTGTAGTTATTGGATCAGTTTAGAATTATATTTTGGATACATCATTTATATCGTTATTTGTATAATTTTTTACAGACTGCTTT